ATGGAAGCCCCGCCCTCAGGTGATGGCCCAGGGCGGCGATGGCAGGGTGAAGGCGAGGTCGTGAGCCGGCCAGCCCCCCCACCCCCGCCAGCCGGCTCCCCCTCCCATCCTAAGGGCCCTCATCCTCGAGGGCGCGACTTGTCTGCGGAATCTGCGTGCTGAGGACGTCGTCAGCTTCGTCCGTAAGAGCTGATTGAGTTTCCTTTATTTTTTTTATTATTTTGTAAAGTGATTCCTCGACACCACGGGCGAGGCTGCGAAGGCCACAGCGCCCTGAGGTGTGAAGCGCGGCCTCCCGCCTGCTGCAGAGCCGACTCCCCTTTCCCTCGGACGCGCCCCCCGACGCCGCCACCATTGAGTCCCCGTCGCAGGAAACGGCGGGGTTGGGTCCCCTCGCCGAGCCCAAGAAGAAGACCAAATGGCAGGACACCCTCCGCTTCTACCTCACGGCGATCTTCACCCTCATCGCCTGCATCAGCTCCTTCGCCTTCCTGTTCCTCGTGCCCTTCGTGATCGACCCTGCCTTCTCCACCATCTTCGCCGACTTCGACCCTGAGCCCGTGGTGTGCGTGACCAAGGAGTCGGAGTTCTTCTTCGGGCTCAGCAACTGCTCGTGGTCGTCGTGCCGCGAGGGCTGCACCAGGGACATCTTCCAGTGCTCCCACATCTTCGTCAACTACAAGAAGGACACGAAGGGCGAGTTCAAGAATGTCAACTTCACCGACGTCGACCTCCTGGACGACATCAAGTGGGACATGGAGGACGCGCGCCTCTTCCCCAACGTGAAGGGCTGCGGCTACCCTCCCAGCGTCAACTGCACCACCTTCAACATGAGCTACAGCACCCCGGGCAGGACGTACCCGTGCTACTACTCGAAGGAGCAGCCCACCACGGTCCTCACGTCCCTGGACATCGAGGGCATCACCACCGACCTCATCTACGCCATCGTGATCCCGTGGGGCGCCTTCCTCGTGTCCATCCTGTACCTCCTCATCACCTACGTGGGCATGAAGAAGCCGGACTCGGACGGCGACGCCCCTCAGGAGGTCACGTCGGCCAAGGCGTCCAAGGAGGCGTCCAACTACTCCCTCAGGTCCATCGGGAAGACCATCAACCACGGCATGAACAAACTCATGGGCGAGCCGGACGACAAAGGGTAAGTGGGACGGGCGTTTAAGCCGCTTTTTTTCGTTTCTCTTGTTATCACACTTCCCCCCCTCCCCCCCTCCCTCCCCCTCCAAGCCAACACACGACCCCCCTCAGACCCCCCTCCCCCCTGCACTCCTCTACAGCAGGAGATGGTCATGTGTTTTATAATTTTGTTTTTGATACACTATTTTTTTCATCACTTGCGTCACTTCCTCCTCTGTGATTATAATTCAGAAACCAGATTGCTGTTTTAAAGTGAGCGACAAAAAAAAAAGAATTCATGTTACTTATACTGAAATATAATTCACTTAAATAATCCATGCTATTCATTAATTAAAAAGAAATAAATTCTATAAAAAAATGTATTTATATATATTCGTATATATATATATGTTTGTGTGTATATGTATTTATCTATTGAATCTAACCCGTTTCTTAGTCACCATGTAGTCGCCCAAGGAACCCCACCATACATACCTGTGTAGCCAACCTCTAGTCAATATCTTCTGCTTCCCAAAAGTAATGTTTGAACACTCAATTCCCCCCTCCCTCTTCCCCCCCTCCCCTCCCCCCTCTCTCTCTCCCCCCAAAAAAAGCATACAGGAATTCAACTCGATAACTTTGCGTTGTCATTTGTTTTGCTGGGTCATCGAAGAAAAACAAAAGCGAAGACCTTGACTGAAGCCGAGACAGTGAGAGAAATACGAAGAAGCGAAGGGAGAAAAGAACAATCAATTAATAAATATCTTTGTTTATTTACCTATATACAAAAAAAGACGTATTTACGGGAAAATGGTAAAAGAAAAGAGACCGCTTCTAATCTGCATTAACTGAACTCTCTTGCATTGCAGAACATTTGTATGACCTGCGTTCTGTGTTCTTGCGAGGGGTGTGTTAAGCACAAGGTAATTAGCTAAATGTTATAGTTATATTCATAGAAGTAAACTATCTCAGTATCTGACGTTCTCCTTTTCCTCGGTAGCGCCAATGGGGACAGAGAGGGGAACTTGTGCTTCAACTTAAGGGGACTTGGCATGTAACCCCGCCGTTCGTTCCTAAAACTAGTAACCGCAGCAGCAGCCGCAGCAGCAGCAACAGTAGTGATATCTCTTCCTCAGTAATTTTGCTTTTATAGTTCTCCTATTCTTTTTTTTTTCATATTTCCTTTTTGAGCGCAATGTTAGAAAGAGTTACTTCTACTCATTTCATTTTTTTAAGAATCTTTTTTGCTGTTGTATACTACGCAGCACACTTAGAGGGGATATGAACCATAAGAGGATTCAGAACATGTATTCTGTACATAACGCGAGGCTTGGAAGCTTTAAGGCAGGATGAACCAGCAAAACAAATGATGATCGTTGATCCCAATTGTTGCTGGAACAGATAAGTAATATCTGAACCCTATTAAAAACAAAACAAAAAAAACAAACAAATTAATCATGATCACATTGTATTTTTTAAAAGAATATTTAAAAAAGAGTACTTAACAGAGAAAAATGATTTGATATTTTGCAGTGGTAGGGATTCGGGTACATGCATTCACCACCGAAAGAAAGGCAAGAGGGAGTAAATCGCCAGAAAAAAGGGGGGGGCCATAGTCAGCAGACACAAAGGCCAGGTATGGTTTGTGGATACCAGTCTCACCCCCCCCCTCCCCCATCCCCCTATCCGACACCTCACACCCACCGCTTTGAAAGTAGTTCGAAATATAAGAAGGAAGATTTTTTTTTTCTTTTTTTTTTTACAATACGCGTGCACGCCTTCCTCTTTGCATGTTACTTAGATTTCCCTCGTATCTTTTTCTCCCTCTCTCTATCTTTCTCTCTTTCTCTTTCCCTCTATTTTACTTCTGTCTATTGGCCTCTCCTTCTTTCTCTCTCTCTATTTATCTATCCATCTCCCCCTCGCTTTGGTTTCCCCTTGCATCTTTGTCGTTTTTTTTTTCTTTTTTTTTTGGGTAGTTTACCTGCAACGAAAGCATCCATTCCTTTCTAACGATGTAGTTGTGGCGCATGTCTACTCGGCGTAGGCAAGGGCACTCCCCCTCCCTCTTCGACACCACCAAGACACAAAGCATACCTGCCTCGTCTATGTCAAAGGCATACGTAGACCATGCTATCTAACGTGCCTAGGCCTAGCGAACGGTAATCCATAGCCTTTCTTTCTCAGAGCATTGTAACCACACGGTATCTGGGAGAACTCGGCAGAGAGGTCCCTTGTTGCTTTTCCTTTTAAAGACTATGTAAAAGAAATGTGTTTATCTACTTCTCAGATTCAGTGCTTTTTTTTCCTACTTCACGAAAGAAGAAAAGAGAAAAAAATAGTAATAAACCATAGTACTTGAGAAGAAGAAGAAGACCAAGATATATGTGAAAAAAAAAAAATGTTCCCCAAGTCAATATTCAGCACCATTTGCTTTTTCCGTCGTCACGGCTGTATGCACAGTGTTTCTGATTTTGCAGTGTTGAATATCTTGATTGCGCATTTCATTGCACTTGCAGCAAGCACTTGAACACCAAACAAATGCCTTTTCGTTGTCACTCTCTTCTCTTTTTTAACCATTATTTCTCCCCCTTCTGTCTCATCAAAACTTTACGTATCCTCTTTTAATTTCCAGGTCTCTCTCTCTCCTATCTTACGAAAATGATTATGACATTGACAATGACTCTAGCTATTGAAGGGACGAAGTAAGTGTTGGCATCGCAGACACTAGCCTGCTTGTGTATGCATGAAGGGCGGAGGTCTTACGCTTCTCCCCGTGTCCAACAAAACAAGGAATGGGTGTATCGAGTACTTGATGTGGAGCATGGTTGCTGCACCCTGGCTATAGACCCTCTTCCTCCCTACATCTTATATATATATTACATTAAGAGAAAAAAAAGTATAAAAAAACGGACGTTCTTTCATGATAGCCTACCCTCACTATTGCGGCAGAAGTTCTACGATAAGGTAGTTGAGAAAGTGCCGTAGAGTTGGCAGTGGAAGATGAAAAGTGAAACAAAAATATCATTTTCTGAACTAAAGGCAGTACTAGTGAAGGTGAGGTATTATGATAGATTCCTCCTCCAACTGACGCACAGGTCGACTGTCCCACCCTCCTCGACCCCCGCCCCCCCCGCCCAACCCAAACCCACCAACCCTTCCCTCCCATGCTTTAATATCCTCCCCTCTGTTCACTCATTCTTCATCCCATTTCTTCTCTTTCTCTCTCTCTCTTCCATGTATCCCCTTCTCCCCTCATTTCACGGTCTTGTGGAGAGCACCCCTTCCCTCTCCTCTCGTTTTCTCACTGCCCTCTGCCCCTCTACCCCGAAGCCTTCAAAGGGGAAGGTGGGACCATTTCGTACGTACAGTTGACGCTTCGGGGAATGTAAACAGTAACATACAATGTATATACATATATGAACATACGGTAGCCCAGTTCTGTATTACGTGTCCTGGTGAGTAGATTTTGGGTAGCATCTAGGTCAATTGAGCTTTTAAGTTATTTGTAGAAAGGGTAGTAGATAAAATGTACTTTTTGTCTCATGTCACAAAATGTTTGCATCGCTTGTTAACATTCCAGGAAAAATGTGGTTCTCTCTCTCTTTCTCTTCCTCTCTCTTTTCCCTTGTAAAAAAAAGAAGAAAAATTTTGCGAATGATGATGATGCAAACATTTTGGGATGCAATATGACTTGAAATTTTGAGATACTGTACGGTACATAGGTTTCTGTAGAACGAGTAATACCTTGTACGGTACATAGATTTCTGTAGATTGATTCTGATGGGCCATGTATGACTGTACATATAAGGGACGGATTGGTCAAATTCTCTTTGTTATGCAAGATATGATTTCCTTTTTAATACATATTTTTTTTACTGTCCACGACAGTACATAGTGAGACGAATCTCTGCTTGATATTATTATCATTTTATTAATAACAGCTTGTTTTCTTGGCCTTAATATTTCTACATAAAAGAGATTGATACCAAAGTCAACATCTAATTAGACCGGTGGCCTGGACTTAGATTTTAACTCCCACTTCGGTCCTGTGGCACTTTCTCAAAATGCTTCACGATTTACCATAGTTTGTAAAGTCTAGTCCATTTCGTTCTTGGCATGCCGGAATATTTCAAATTCTAATGCAGATTTAATAAGACTTTTTATTTCTGATACTGCATGACTAAGAAATTACTTCCATTCATTTTTTTAAAAAGAGATACATTTCCAGGTTAAATAAAGAAAAAGAAAAAAAAGAAAGAAAACAGATTATAAACATTTCTTTTCTTATTGTTTGAATAAGCCCTTCATTTATCAGTACTATAATCCTGTAGAGAATTGTTGTAATGATGAATTAGTCAAGATGCACCAGTGACATTTGATGAGATGAATGTAGTGATGTTTATGCAGTTTGAGGATCTGTTACTGTAGGTTATGTATAATGTAGGCCTGTAGGAGACTGCCTTTGAAACTGCACACATCTAAAAAAAATATATATCTAAAAAAATGGGGGGAATGATGCTAATAGTTGTGATTTATTATACATTCATATATTGAAATATATCATAATAACTATGTAGAGATTGATTTTCATATATGAGATTTTCTACTTTGTCAAAACGGGTTGAGAGAAGAAAAAAAATAAAAATAAAAATAAAATAAAATAAAAACTCGCGATGCTCTTCCCTACTTTTTGTTTTGTTGTAAAAATTGATGTTGATGTCGTTGGTGTTGACGTGGATGTCGTTGTGTGGTAACGGTCGTGTTATGGTCTAGCGGGCATGGAGGTAGCGGACGAGGCGGCGGCGGCGGCGGAGGCCTGAAGCAGCGCACCCTCACCTCGCCCTCCATGCTGGGGTCCAACTTACTACTCGTGCCCGCGTCGCTGCCCCAAGTCCACCCGACGCGGCGCTCGACCCTCCCGCCGCTGGAGAGGACACCGCCGCTTCCCCGGCCCGCAAGGTGATCCTCCACGCCCCTCCCTCCTCCCCCCCTTCCTCCTGCTCCTCCTCCTAATCCTCCTGCCCCTCCTACTAATTCCTCCTGCCCCTCCCCCTCTTCCTCTCTACCTGACGGACTGCCTGCCCGAGAGTGCCTGACTGACTGCCTGCTTGATCGGTAGCTAGCCTGCTTTGCCTGCCTCCCCCGTCTGCCCGCCTGGTTGTCTGCCTCGAAAGGGTAAAAAAATCTACAGCTATCTTCATCTGTCTTGCACGTTTTATCTTTTTTTTTTTTTTTAATCTTTCTCTCGTTGAAGTGCACAGGCGAATTGTACCATTTTCCTCCTTCCTCACTTCCCTCTCCTTTCCCCTCGTCCCTCTTTCCCTCATGTTCACTGACCTCCGCCTCACGTCCCTCGTCTTTTCCTTATGACGCACCTTCACTTTTTTTTTCTCTTTTTTTTTTAACGGTATCGCATGAAATTATGATAATTCAGATAGCTTCGGATTCTCTCTCTTGATCATGCCGTAGATTAGAATAGATTTAGAAGAAGAAAATAAAAAAAATGAAGTGTGTATTTGATATTTTCTGATCCACGTTCCTCCTTGATGTCGCTTCAAATTCTCCTCCCCTAAACTTTGTTGTGCTCATTTTCTCGCGTCTCTCAGCAAAAACAAACACAAAAAAACGTGTTTATTAAGATCAATTTAAGTAGTTTTAGAGTCAAGACAGTCCTGTAGCCTTGAGACTCCAGCTGTGCAGAAAATGAACGCAATGCTCCCGCAAGTAGAACTAGACTTAATGCATAACGACAACGGCAAATGTACGACACTTTTATTCTTTTCCTTGTACGACAGCGTGGACGGGATCACAGAGCAAATGACTATTTTCACTTCTTCAAAAGCTTAGCAATAAGAAACGTACATATTTTTTGAAAGTATTTTTTTTTTTTTATAGTAGACTGAACTGATGATCTTTTTTCTTACACTTTTTTCCTCTCATTCTCATTCTGAAAGATCACGTTGTGTGTCTATTTTTTTTTAATTTTTGGTCTAAATTGTAATGATATTAGTTCACATTGTGTGTTTGTTTCCTTGAATGTAATCTACAAAATTTAATTTCACCAGTTTTCTTTCTTTCCTTTTTGTATTTTATTCCCCACTCTCTTGATCAGAGTTATTTTTTCACTCCTGTTGTATTGCCGTGCATGTTTTCTTTATATATCTTGCATCATACTGTAATTAACGTCTTTTCTCTTCTTACATAAATTGCTCTCAGATTTTAAAAAAAATGTCATATGTTGGTGTGTGTATTAATGACAAGAGGTATGTATGTATAAACGTTTTGTAGGATCTAGTTATTAATTTACATGTCTTATATCTTGACTGCGAAGATGATGCAGTTTACCTTTTTTCAGTTTTATAATAGATTTGATACAAAGAAGTCTATAATTGATATATAAAAAATATTGTAGTGACTGTAGTTCGAGTAATAACTATTTCCTGAAATATTTCATCATTCATTGGCTAAAGTCAAACACACACACACACACACACACACACACACACACACACACACACACACACACACACACACACACTTTGACTGGTAACATTACATACCTGTGGTGGATATTGACTTTTTAAAAAATCTCATATTTACAAAAGCATTGGACACCATTAAAGATAAAAGGAAACGATAGATCCCCCCCTTCCCATTACTTTTGTCTAACTCATGAAATTCTTTCTAATATTAATCATAACATTAGGCATATTTTATTAGGCTCTTTAACATCACCTGACCTTGGTGTAGGTTTAATGTTTTCTCCCTGTGTTTGTTTGGTTTAGCGTATAGGAAGTCCTCAGTAAAAGAAGTTAAACTATACATTTAAAAGTGTATTGAAAGAGATGGTTTTGATAAGAGGACGCTGTTAGGTCTGCTAAATTTGTGTGTGGATTCCTTGTACTTGGTTTGGTCCCACGATCTCTCAAGGGTAAGATCTTTCTTTCTCTCTTTATCACTCTTTTCTCTCTTCTCTGTCTGTCTGCTTGTTTGTTTGTCACCGTTTCTGTCTCTTTCTCTCTCAGTCTCCCTATCTCTTTCTCTCTCAGTCTCCCTATCTCTTTCTCTCTCAGTCTCCCTATCTCTTTCTCTCTCAGTCTCCCTATCTCTTTCTCTCTCAGTCTCCCTATCTCTTTCTCTCTCAGTCTCCCTATCTCTTTCTCTCTCAGTCTCCCTATCTCTTTCTCTCTCAGTCTCCCTATCTCTTTCTCTCTCAGTCTCCCTATCTCTTTCTCTCTCAGTCTCCCTATCTCTTTCTCTCTCAGTCTCCCTATCTCTTTCTCTCTCAGTCTCCCTATCTCTTTCTCTCTCAGTCTCCCTATCTCTTTCTCTCTCAGTCTCCCTATCTCTTTCTCTCTCAGTCTCCCTATCTCTTTCTCTCTCAGTCTCCCTATCTCTTTCTCTCTCAGTCTCCCTATCTCTTTCTCTCTCAGTCTCCCTATCTCTTTCTCTCTCAGTCTCCCTATCTCTTTCTCTCTCAGTCTCCCTATCTCTTTCTCTCTCAGTCTCCCTATCTCTTTCTCTCTCAGTCTCCCTATCTCTTTCTCTCTCAGTCTCCCTATCTCTTTCTCTCTCAGTCTCCCTATCTCTTTCTCTCTCAGTCTCCCTATCTCTTTCTCTCTCAGTCTCCCTATCTCTTTCTCTCTCAGTCTCCCTATCTCTTTCTCTCTCAGTCTCCCTATCTCTTTCTCTCTCAGTCTCCCTATCTCTTTCTCTCTCAGTCTCCCTATCTCTTTCTCTCTCAGTCTCCCTATCTCTTTCTCTCTCAGTCTCCCTATCTCTTTCTCTCTCAGTCTCCCTATCTCTTTCTCTCTCAGTCTCCCTATCTCTTTCTCTCTCAGTCTCCCTATCTCTTTCTCTCTCAGTCTCCCTATCTCTTTCTCTCTCAGTCTCCCTATCTCTTTCTCTCTCAGTCTCCCTATCTCTTTCTCTCTCAGTCTCCCTATCTCTTTCTCTCTCAGTCTCCCTATCTCTTTCTCTCTCAGTCTCCCTATCTCTTTCTCTCTCAGTCTCCCTATCTCTTTCTCTCTCAGTCTCCCTATCTCTTTCTCTCTCAGTCTCCCTATCTCTTTCTCTCTCAGTCTCCCTATCTCTTTCTCTCTCAGTCTCCCTATCTCTTTCTCTCTCAGTCTCCCTATCTCTCTCTCTCAGTCTCGTTCACTTTCCTTTCTATTTGATTTTATTTCTCAACGCTAAGTACATCTAGACAATTCCAATGCGTATACGTGACTCGGTTCAAGCTTCGTATAACCGTGTCAGCCATCCCCCATTTATATAATTATTTATATAAAAGATTAATATGTTTACGAACATATTATTCCTTTCAGCGTTGAGGAACGTCTTTATATCGCTTGGTGAAGGAAAGGTAACATTATTTACTCTTAATATATGTAACCAATCTTCTTTTTATATATATATGTATAATTATTCCGACTCTTCCTAATATTTCGCTTGAGTGCACGACCAAGGTACACATTTCTAAGAAAAAAAAAAATATTAAACAGCATGGTGAGCAGTGTTATCAGACACCTTCCCACTGTTTTGCATTTCGCCCGGAATTAATTTTTACTTGGTATCACTCGTCACTTATTATTATTATTATTTTGTTTTATATATGTTTTTTGCGTGGTCTATCTGCATATTTATTTATGGCCTTTTAAATATTTCTGGGCTGTTTTATTTTATTCAGTCGGTAGGAAAAGCGTAAAGATTGTTATATTCAGTTAAATTAGTTCGGTCACTTCGTTTTTATTTTTCAAATTCATAAGCGCTCGCGGATTGGGAATAAGGGGCGAGGTGGCCAGGTACTACATTTACACATTATTCATTTGATTATTAGCTTCATAACATGAGCTTTCCCACTCTGATCCCTTTAATAAACAAGAACAAATATCAGACTTGCGGATCTGAGGAGCAATGGGCTATTAAAAAAAAAAAAACTTGAAAATAGTTTTTATGTCAGAAATGCCGAAAAAACGATGATAACATGTTGACTTAACCTTAATTATACAGTACACCTTAGGGCTTCCGAATAAAATTCACCCTTTCCTTGCAAACTGCTGACAAAATTCACTTTGCATTGGAAGAGTTGTGTGTAAAATATCACAATCGACTGGGAATAGAGTTTACTTAGCTGTGGCTATAAATATACTGCAATTACCATTTTTTCGCCATGTTTAGTGATTTTCCCCTTTTTTTTCTCTAACGATTTTAAATGGTATTCGTGCACAGACTCCCATGACTAAGGTTCTCTACGCAAAATAAAGACTAGTTTTATCTTAAGGAAAATTTTAAAAAACACGTCTCGGAAGTGAAAACTGGAAAGAAAAAAAAGATACAAATAAAAATTCAATTTTCGTTGCAGCCCCTAAGAATGTGCACATCAAGTGAGACTCATAAATTAGACGTGATATTGGTGCCAAGTTTCCACAGTAAGTGAACTCTTCTCTATTTTCTCAACCACGCGCACCTGTGGAAATCCATGGACATGCATATTAACGTGTATATGGCACATTATCTGAGCATGTTTACCATTAGCAAGAGAGGTTCTCTTTTGTTAACCACTGCTATTGATGGCTGGTCCAATGTTTATGCTTCTTTCTAGGTTATAGGTGTAAATGAAGTCACAGTCAGCTGCATGGAAGAGAATCTTTCATATGCACAATCACATAAAAAAACGAAAAAAAGGCAGAGTCAGTTTCAAAGTTCATGCACACTTCAAGAAACAAAAACGAATATAGTATAGAATTTTTTTTTTTCTATTGCAAATAACTTTACATTTTCTCACATGCATGGTCGTCATCCATTTCATTCAAATATACAAGTGGCACCAGCAAGCTATTAATAGGCAACGATCTCTGAGACTACGTGAACTAGCATTCCAGAAATAAGCTAACTGCTCTTTCTTTATTTTTCTTCTTCTAATGAACAAAAAACTAAATTTTCCCGAGGCATGTTTCTCGGAAAATCATGTTGGGCTGGAGATTTTATTTTAAAATTGGGTGCTGCTTTTGATAGGGAAGAAATAAAGTCAATTATGATTTTTTTTTTCAGTTTCACATTCGAACTGCTGGAGAAAAAAAAGTGGAGCGAAATTCAAATGTTGTATTTGAAAGCAGCGTTTTTTTTTTCTCTCTATAGAATACTTTCTTCGGGTTTCCTTTTTCTGTCATTTGTTAAGGATTACTGTTGTTATTTTTCAGAAATTCGGTCATTGGTCATTTATTATAGGTTCTGTTACTTGTTTTTTGTTAAGGAGTCTTTTCGTTATTCTCCGATATAACAGCACTGAACGTTATAAACATCGAGAACATTTCGTCTCAAAACTGTAAATTTTTTTTTTTTTCAGATCACGAAAAACATCAAATTTGATAACAAAATATTTATTTACTTTATATATTATTTACAATAAAAAAAATCAAGGTTAGATTGTTGTCTGGTGCCATGACACGCATGATGACATTTGCATGAATTTAATGAATAAGTGAAAAGGTGATAGTTGTAAACAGGTCAATTCATGGACAAATGTTATGATATAAAACAGATAATGCAACATTCTCACAAGTCCTAATACTTACATGATTGCAACCAAGTGTGTGTATTTGTGCACACACACACACACACACATTTTATATACGTATTATTATATATCACATTACTGTATATTATATATATTATATTATATTATAAGTATTATATATTATATTATATATAAATATATATACACATTTGTGTACATGTATACGTGTGTGTGTGTGTGGCGATACAACCTTAGGTAAATTTACGTTTCAGTGCCTCAATAGAAAGAAAAAATGCTGTTATGAGTAAATGACTATTTTTCCTTGACTGAATATCTTTAATAAAAATAAAGTTCTTTATATATATACATATATAACGTCGACACTCCATCCCTAGTACACACATTTTTTGTTTCTTTATTATTTTATTTTTTTACAATAACTCCATCCATAAAAACATGAATGCATTATAGTTATTAGCAATTGCAACTGGAGTTTTCCATCGTGACACTGCATTAAACTTCACTTCATAAATAAAACCAGAAAACAAACATAGCTTACACACACATTACCGTCACCCCTTCAACGCACACACGGAAAACGCTAATTAATAACTTTGGTAATGAAATTCCAATTTGCGGTTCAGGATCTTAGTATCGGAATGAGAAAGAGATAGATAGATAGAGAGAGAGAGAGAGAGAGAGAGAGAGTGTGTGAGAGAGAGAGTGAGAGTCCGTGTATATGAGAGAGAGAGAGAGAGAGAGAGAGAGAGAGAGAGAGAGAGAGAGAGAGAGAGAGAGAGAGAGAGAGAGAGAGAGTGTGTGTATGAGAGAGAGAGAGAGTGCGTGTATGAGAGAGAGAGAGAGAGTGCGTGTATGAGAGAGAGAGAGAGTGCGTGTATGAGAGAGAGAGTGCGTGTATGAGAGAGAGAGAGAGAGAGAGAGAGAGAGAGAGAGAGAGAGAGAGAGAGAGAGAGAGAGAGAGAGAGAGAGCGAAATGAGAAGAGCTGGGTAGGTCCCCTCCGGCGCCATCTTGAGTCCCTTCCCTTTAATCTCAGCCCGGGAGTCGCTCAGAGCCCAAACTTTGGCTTTTGGCAAGAGGCTCCCTTTCATAAGGATGAAAGAATAAGTAATTTTAACGTTTTTTTTCTTAAGTTGAAAGTGGAGGAAGGAAAGAAAGATACATAATTTTGGTTAATTATGGGTGGAATAGCAAAGGAAGTTTATACATCATATTTATATACATATATTGAATATGTATGGAGTTTATATCAAGTATATACATATATAGCTACATGCACAATACCCTATGCCCTAAATCTAGTATACAGAATACCAAACCTGTATATAAACACAGTATATTATCATATCGGAATAAGATGCCACGAGCCCCTTATCGCCTGCCCCCCCCTCCCCCCTCCGTCCTAACCTACTATCGCCCTTACAGTCATCATCGAGAACCTGGCGAGACTTCATTCCAAGAGGTAGAGTGCGCAGAGAGACCGTGAGACAGAGAGAGAGAGGACGAGACGTTCCTGTGGAGGACGAGACCACAGCAAGGGAGAGAGAAAGAGAGAGAGAGGAAGATAGAGGAAGAGAGAAGGAGAGACAACTCCGGAGGATTCGGCGACCTGAGGACTTCAAGACGTGAAGCTGCTGTTTAGTTTATGATTGGATAGATTTACTCGGAATGTGTTTTGTGAATACTTTGTTGCGAGTGTGAATATTAATGAGAAAATTATTTTTTGTTGTTGTTGTTGTTTATTATTGTATGTGTTCTTTTTATTTCCTTTTTCTTTTTACCTTTCTTTTCCTTTACTCTTTTCTCTCTCTCAGATCTCTTCGTCCATTCGCATTCTGTATATATTCTTTCCATGTACATTCTTCATAAACGTTTTTTTTCCTTATTTTTTTCCTTTTGTCATCTGGAATTCCAAAATGACAAAAGCTAATCAGTATTGACGGAAACTTCCTCGCGTTCGTCTTCGAACTTCCTGCATTTTTTAAGTGAATTTCAAACACAGTCCATAAACGTCGGGGTTAATATGCATCACGTGCAATAACCTACGACAAAGAATATTTATCCCTTAGCTATAAAAGCAACACGAAATTCAGGACGTTTTCAAAGCGGCGACTTCCCTCTCCGACCGGTAAAGGTTTTGGGCGACGGCGAGACCCCCTATAGGCCAATGGCACTCTAGCCTGGCTTGAAACTCTGCCAGTGTTCGGTAATTTTCTAAATAAAGTAGAGGATTTCTCATCACATCACACTTAGATTATTCATGTTAGTCATCGATGTCTCATACGAAAGATTTTTGACCAAAGGAAAAAATTGAAGAAACGAAGAATAAGAAAGAAAAGAAAGGAAAAAAAAAGACTCGTTTGCTCATCCATTTTGATATAACCTATAAAGTGCTGAACATACTTGTCCGCGTGAGACTGTGGTAGGGATCATGTATGTAAAAAAAAGAAACGAGGTGAATTATCTTGTATTTATAAATCGTACGCAAATTATCAGTTAAGCGAAATATAAACAATTTGATGTTGATTGAGAGGAAGAAAATTCGTTAAAAAAAAAGAAGAGAATTATCATCATTATCCCTTCCCAGGCCACGAAGGCGTATGTCAGAAAAATGTCAGACATTATATTTTCATGTGTATAGCGACTTGCCCCCCCCCCCCTCTTTTTTCTGGTGCTAAATGGCGCAAGCGGACTAGAAGTTCCAATAGAAGTTTCTTTAGGAATAAGACGATATAGAAAAAAAACTAAGGTTCGCACAAGAAATAATCGCGCAGTGATCGAAGGAGAACATTCTGTGATGTCATTGATAACCAATTCTTCACTCCGGAACTGTGGGATTACTGAATTAGTATTAGCGTTGCACAAATCTTACGAGATCCTATTTAGAAATAGACAAAAACATGTGTTTCCTTGACACTCATGAGTTATCTAGTTTTATGGTTCACGGTCTCCCCCCCGCAGCAACGACTTAAACACTTAATATGTCTTTTGTTTCGAGTTTTTTTTTGGGATACAGCTGTAACTTCAGGATTTGCTAGATCGTTACAAATCAGATGAAAAAAAAGGCAGTTCAAGCTACTGATGAAATACTTCAGGCTATCAGATACAGATGTTACTAAAAAAAAAAAAAAGACGTCACCATTAATCTTTTGTGATTTGACACGTGTTTTTGAAGTGACGTTGAGGAACCATCGAGGTAGTTCAGATAGGCTGATAACGACCAAGATCAATAATACGAGCAAATCCCTCTTGATATTTCGTTTTCGTTAGACCCAACCCCTAAAGCGGTCTTTTATTGACTGACATCACTCGCAGCACAAGTGTTAAATAAAAGTCGCAGTTTACAGTGGTTAGTAGCAACCTATTTTTGTGTACAATTGCTAACACAGCAAAGGAAGATGTTATGTTTATGAATACTTTTCAGTATGGAAATATGCATAGGTGTGCATATATGTGTGTAATGTATGTACGTATATACCTATACCCTATGTGTATATATACACAAGCATATGCATGTATATGTTCAGCAGTGGTTAATTTACAGGCTGTGACCTGAATGTTGTACAATGTTACTTAATGCTAAGTTTTCACATTATGTATAAGCATATAAATCATATATATATATATATATATATATATATATATATATATATATATATATATAAATATATATATATATATATATATAAATAAATATATATATATATATATAAATAAATATATATATATATATATATATATAAATATATGTATAAATATAAATATATGTATAAATATATATATATGTATAAATATATATATGTATGTATGTATGTATGTATGTATATATACATATATATATATTATATATATTTATGTATGTATGTATATATACATATATATACATATATATATATATATATATATATATATATATATGTATGTATATATATATATATATATATATATATGTATGTATGTATATATATACATATATATATATATATATATATATATATATATATATAAACAGTCCTTCCTGCCTAATCTTTTCCACACATTACGGAAAATTCAAAATCCCAGCATTGGATAGGCTCCCACAGAAGCCACCAGCCGTGTATCTAGGGACAGTTACCAACTACGCCTTCCCATTATAGAAGTCTAGCATGATCGCATAAAGCAAACTCCTTCCGTAACCTTAATTCATATTCTATATTTCGGAATTCAATATTAGAGGCACAATCTCCAAGTTATCTTTCATCTCGGACATGGCTTTGCGCACGCGCGCATACACAACCACACACACACACAACCACACACACACACAACCACACACACACACAACCACACACACACACAACCACACACATACACAGAGGATGTATTCGAGATTTTCAGGATATGTTATTTTAATTTATTATTTTTCTGTAATAAGTTTCCGTGTGACTATGTGCAGCTAGGAAGAACGATTTTTATTCTATTCAATGCAGTGTTAACGATTATGGGAAATTTTTCAAAACAAAAGTGCAAAAGCGTTCATTCTTATTAAGGTAGGAATAGTGATGTTAATTTGTGATTTTTAGCTTTCTTGTTCGTTACTATGCCCCTATCCACAAATACAATTTACTTGGAGCGTGCAAAATATACCTATTAAATCATATTTCACATTTCTTAAGAAGAAACGAAATAGATTTTCATATATTTCTCTTTCCTCTTCTAGTTATTAGGTTTAAAAAATAAATTTAAAGTACATTCAATGGCTTTCATATTCTATTAAGATATTTCATATGTTGTAGACCGTCACATAATTTTAATTGTTAACAGCCTTTTATTTTAAACAATTTTGTAAATGTGTGCTGAATAAACAGTATGAAACTATTATTGTAATTTCTTTCCCATGTCTTGATGTTCAGAAAAATTAGTCCTTTAAAATCTCATAGCAGTAATATTTAATTTACAAAAATATTTTACGTTATCTTATTTTGCTGTTACTAATGTTTATAACATTATAGTAACTATAATAAAAATAACCATCGATATTCATAGCACTAGTAAAGATACATTTTCCCGCCAAATGAATTCAGGTAAGGCAGAGCCATCTATGTGTAGGGACATTTCACAAAAAGTATAAAATGAGCACAGCATTTTCCCCATTTTTTGTTCATTTTTACCCGTCGTGAATGGGTGTAAGTTCACCCATTCAATGTACGATTAGAACAAGAAAAATAGAAGAAGGAAATATTTATGGCAATGTGAAACATGCTCTATAGCGGGAACAAGTCAGTGAGAAAGGTCATACAATTTTTTTTTTTTTGCAAAGACCGAACTTAAGCATGAAAATAATGATGATGAATGATCAATGATAACGGTGACAATAGCACTAAAAGTGGAAATAAAATGGAAGTAGAAAAATAAAACCAATAACTGACGCAACGACACGAAATGATACAAACAAACATACAGGTAAGCAATATATCCATCAAATAACACGAACAGCACCAGAATCAGATAATGTATTTATAAACAAAAAATACACAATAATACATGCACAGTATTACACTGGTAATATATTTGGCAATACTACGACAGCTGCCTGCGACAGAGACTAATGTTCGTGGATGTCGACATGGTAAAAATTAAGTCATTAGTTGTGTTGTAATTAAAGTTCATTTGTAATATCATCTATGAAATGAAAGAAAAAGAAAAAAAGAAAAAAAAAAAAAAAAAAAACATGGAAAATCCCGTCGAATGTAAATATGGCCACCGATGGCTCTGGAAATTAATATCCTGCAAAGTACCCGAAGTGCCTACGTGTATTTAAGAAATAGATAGATGGATGCATGTATCTA